CAGATGACGGTTTTGGGACATTAAACCCGACAAATCACTGGTAGATTGTGAGTCTTCATGCACTATCTGGGTGCTTTCATTGATTTCGCCAGTGTGTTCGCCTTGATGTATACCTACATGTACTAATTTGATGAACCCGACATTTTCACGTAAGGCTGTTTGGTCAGGAAGTAAAAAAGATGAATTAAAAAGAAGCGGACTAACCAGGACAAATTCTGCGAAAAAGACGTTTTGGTTTCCTGGACGCAAGTCTTCTTCATTATGGCAGCAAGGATGAGTGAAGCGATGTGATTCAAACGGTTTTAAACACTGACGTAAGTGGCGGGTGTAGATAAGATGGAAGTTTGCGTAATTTCGGCTCAATGTGTTATCTGTAGTTAGGTAAAATGAAATCTAAGCGGTGTCAAGCGTATAGCTCTTCCGTAGGAACTGTTTGGACGACACCACTCATAAATAATGTTGAATATAGAAAGTGAAAAACTAAAGGAGCTCCTCAGACTCATGTGGCAACGAAACTAAACAGTTCTTAGGTTGAAAGTTGAAAGTTGAAATTTATTTCACCACAACGATACACCGTGATTTACACAAACAAGAAACAATTGTGGCATGGAAAGTAGGAAAAAAGCTGCGCTATAGCAGCTTGACTAGCCCCACCTCCCATTTGTACAAGGCAACAGAAACAATGGCACACCAAACTCCATACGGTGCTCACGTATGATTGAAAGAAAAAAGAAAAGAAAATAACATTCTAGTGGTTGTTTCTGAAGTACAGAATAGATGCACACTTGGGTGTTAACAAACAATTATTGGGGAAAAAGGCAACCAAAATAAGACGCTATAGCAGAAAGGGGTACACTTAAAATTCCATGCATTTACAAGTACTGGGTGCAATTTTTCTGGGTTTATAGCTCCTTATACAAACATGTTTAATATATCACTACTTGAAAGGAGACGCAATTGCTGTTCTGTGAGCTTGAACTTATTTAGTATATGGGGAACAGAGTGCTTTAGCATTTGGAGTCCGTAATTTATCGTGGTCGGGGGATGTGCCAGTGTTCAGAACTCCGCATCGGACGCAACAAAATTTTCGGCTGTAAATGTGCTAAGCCTCTCAGGTTTGCGCAATTCTTTCGAATTTCAGACCTCAAAGACAACAACAAGTTATGTTCATATGCAACACAAAATTTTAAAACTTTAAACTTGATAAATAAATGGGATGTGTGTTCTCTGTAACCTATATTTGCAACAGCCCGTAAAGCGCTTTTTTGAAGTGTATACAACTTTTGTTTTGAGGTTTCAGTTCCAGAAGCCCATACCAACTGACAATAGCGTAGATGAGAACAAAAAAGCGTATTAAAGATAAGAAGTTTCTGGGGGAGCGGTAGAAACGACTGACACCTTCTTAGCACGCCAAGGGCTTTTCTTAGCTTAATACACAATTGTTCAGTGTGAGAATTCCAGAACATATGTTGATGAAAGATGACGCCCAAAGTTTTGACAGTCTCTGAAAGTTCGATATTGAAATTATTTAGCATCAGTTTTTGTGTGTACGTACATGTCATTCCTTTCGCACGGAAAAGAACGGCCTTGGTTTAGAGCTGTTGATCTGTAACGAATTTTGGCAGGACCATTTCGAAAAATTGACTAACGTTTTATTAGCTGCTTTTATCAAATCGTCTATATTTGTTCCCGTAAAGAATAAGCTTGTATCATCTGCATAAATAATGTACGTTATTGAGTGATCCACATTTACAATATCATTGATATAAAGGTTAAATAGAAGAGGTCCTAATATGCTTCCCTGTGGTACACCGCGTTTGATTTTTTTGGGCATAGATGTTTGCCTATTTATAGACACACACTGGTACCGATCACAAAGGTAGCTTTCTATTAAATCGAGCGCGATGCCTCTAATCCCGTAATAAAACAATTTTTCTAACAAGGTTTGGTGATCAATTTTGTCAAACGCCTTCGTAAAGTCTATGAATACGCCTAATGTTAGCTTTCTTGCTTCAATGTTGCCCAGTATCAACTCTTTTTGATGCATTAGCGCTGTCTCCGTCGATACGCCAGACCTGAACCCATATTGTGCTGTTGTAATCACAGAATGCGAGTCCAAAAATTTATACAATCTAGTGAAAATGATTTTTTCTAGAGCCTTTGAAAGTATAGGTAATACCGATATTGGCCGGTAATTACTCATTTCATTTTTGTCACCACCTTTATAAAGCACTAGAACTTTGGCATTTTTCATCCGCTTAGGGAACATACCTGTGCTTAAAACAATGTTATAAATATGCGTCAGGCAGGGTGATAATAAATCAATAACAAAGATAACCGGTTCCATTTTTATGCCGTCAATGTCCTCACTTTTGCTTTTTTTAAGTTTCATGAAAACGTTGTTTACCTCAGTTTGCTCCGTAGGGTCAATAAATATTGAGGGGGCTATAGGTGTTGGCATGTAACTTAATGCATTTCCGTCGTAAGTACTTTCTGACAAAGAAGGTTAAATGTATCACCGAAGGGAAACGCTGTTGCATTACTTATTGATACTACTAGCGCATAAAGTGTAGGAAAAAGGCAGCGAAAGTTGATGCGTACAATCAGCGACTCCGTCAGGTCACCTTGGAGCGACGAGACGGCTGCACTTTTGATTACGCATGCACGCGTAGAGTAACAATTGGCACACCGTTTAAGTTTCAGCCTTTTGTATTGAGTAAACACGAGAGGAAAAGCAAACGACTGTAGGTATCTCGTCACGTTACTTAAGACGACTACAGTGATTAGCATCTCACTCGCCGACACCCCGATCCATGTTGTTGAAACGACGATGGCCTAAGGATCTCTCTACTGTACTACTCGACTCGTGCGACCTTGGGGGAGTTGTTTTGTTGCGGTTTGGGATCGCGTTGTTAGGAATCGCTTCTCAAATATTACGTGATTGGAATGAAAGGTGCCTCTCCGCAACGTCTTGCTCGCGCTGTCCTTGCCAGCCCTCTACCAAGGTGACTCCGGATGTCATCCATATGGCACGGTTGGTCGCAGCAGCCGTGCCGAGCGGACCATTAGCGTTTGGATTTAGGGGCGGTGGGCATTCGGATAACCTTCCGCGTAGGCAGCTTCTTATGTTTCTTTTCTAAATATAGTCACGCGGCTTCCCGGCTATATAAGTGATAACTGCGAGTAACAGAGGACAAGCTCTCCTGTTCAGACGGTTATTGCTGCGCACGGAGTGTGTCTACACAGCCCTGTTTTCGGTGCGCTACAGCGAAATCGCCCGAGGTAAGGCATAAGTTTTTCATGTTTTTTGGTCGAGGTTATTGCCTAATCTGTAGCAGTGGGTCTGATCTTCATATGAGCCACTGTTCTATACAACTAAAATATTTCGGGTTAGCATTTATATAATAAAAAATTGGTATTTTTATGCGAGACCTCGTAGCGAAGGGCAACGGAAATTTTTTGCAGGCGGAAATTGAATATGGCGCTCCTAAATCTCAGCAGACGGGCCTTCAGCGTTTCACCCGCAACAAAGTTCGGCAGCCGCAGTCACTCCTCCATCCCCGTGATATTCGGATTAAGCATTTGAGCACCATAACCAATTTACCACTGCGGTGTGTTCTTCTGCATAGATATTTTTACATTTATCAAAATGTGTACAAAACAAATCTGTACTGCGACATGTCAATTTTTTGTTACCCTGGATTTTACAGACTTTGTTTAAAACGGTATCGACATATGAAACACTGTAAAAATGCACGTGTTACACTAACAGCCGGTGTGTTGTGACATGCAGTGTAAAGTTGGAGTAGACGATTTTAGACGTAATAACGAAAACAAAACTGTAACAGAAAAGCACTAAGATTACATTCCCCTAATATCAAAAAGGAAGCATGGAAATTATATCCTATGAAGTTCAATAACACAAAATTAAAACTGCATATGTGGAAAACCCATGCTACTGCATGGTGCTTCAACATTGTTTTTACTGTATGTTTATTGCGCTTGTCCAGCTCAAGTAGTAAAAAGCAGTTCAGTAATTATAAACTGGGTACAAACATGATATAAATGAAATTTACAGGCCACGAGAAACTGAAAACAGACCACGGACTTCAAAACATGCTGAGAATCAACAATACAAGTAAATACAGCAAGATCTGAGCTGTAGCGCTTGATTCTCTGAACAAGTGCACTTTCTTCAGAAATGAGGACAGAATGTATATTTCAGTTGACATTCCAAAAGCTACAAAGAAATAATGCATTCGCTAAATATGGGAGCCGGCTGACGCTTCCTTCCACTAAAATTTAGCAAAATAATAGATTCGACTATTTTATTTCAGGATTTCGGAAACGAAAATGGTGTCCACTCATCTGGCTACCTTGTTTGTGTGCTTTCTAGCGGCAACTGTGGTCGCCATTCCAGGTAAGTGTCGAATATCGTGGCCTGTGCCAGAGAAGTTGTGAAACGCAATCATGCGGCTCTCAGTGTAAACACATGAGTGATCATAAGGAGCTCATATCTGCTGTTCAGAAAAATTGACAAGAAAGAGACGTTGCTCTTGAAGCTGACATTGGGGATACAGTATTTTGGCAATATATTTGGTAGTGCAAAAGTTGTAAAGGTTTTGGTGCCAGTAACGACAACTCTTGGCATGGTTGAAAATAAAGCGCCTTACTAAAATATCGGTTTTTCGCCAATTAAGTATTTCTTGGTGTGACTATTTCTGTGTCTGCTTTTGCTGTAAACATGCCTTACATATGTACCAAATCAAATTCTACCCTACGAGTATGCCGACAAATAACCGTTCTTCTCACGCTTGTTGAATCAATTTTCATGAAAGAAAAAAATGTGCCCAAGCGTCATTCCGCTCAGATATGCTAGTAAAGTGTTTGGTGTACAATACCTTGCTAGCCGTGAAAGACTCTACCCGCTAAAGCAGCCTGTTTGTTTGAGGTTCTTACAGCATCACTTGTATAAAATATTTATACGTAAAAACACGCATATGATTACTATTTTGTGCACTTTCACAGAAAAGTGTCAAATCCCGGATGAAGACTGGGAAGAGCTGGTCGATCAGTTCCTCGCCAAGATTCCCAACGAGTACTCGTTCCCCGGTCCTAACGAGGCCACGAAACACAACGAAGTGCTCGCCGGATTCACAGTCGGTGACATGACGCTCAGCGGCCTGTCTTATCTCAAGCGATATGGCACTGTACGAGTGTACTGCAAAAACGGAAAGCCGCACGTCGACACCAGCATGGGCTCGCAGGCCCCGGTTAAGATGTCCATTCCCTGGAAGTACTGTGGTGGCAAGAGTGGTCTCTTGGGCACCCAGGCGAATCACGTCAAGATCTGCATCGGCTTCGACGTTGTGGAAGAGGGCGGCAAGGTGGCGCTCAAACCAGTCAGGGTGTCACCCAAGTGGATAGAGTCCATGGACATCAAGGTAGAGGGCGCCGGAGAGGTGGTCAACACGGTGGGACACTTGATGGGAAAACTCATGCCGGCGTTTGTCAAGGATTTCTGGATCGAGAACCTGCCCTGGAGAATGCACAAAATGCTCGAGCAGATAACGAAATAAACGAATTTGGCTTGAATTTGGTAAGCCATTTCTTCCGGTGTGGATATAAAATTCCAAACAAAATCAGTGGTGGTATACATAGTAATTGTTTTTCGATCTAAATGACAGTTACATATTTATGACATTTGTAGCGAGATCAATGAAGAATTTTTTTCGTCTTAAGCAAGTTCTAGTGCCCTTTCATTCGAAACTGACAATATCGATCTCGGGTAAATTGTCGTATCCTTACTTACAAACTATTTTTATGCCTTACCGGTATTGTAGCCAAATGGTGGGCAAACTCTTAAGGCGGAACGCCGAGTAGTATAGTTGACACAGGGGGAGCCGCACATCTAAGCGGTGGATGTGGGTAGATTGATTGACAGTCAAAACGAAAAATATCGGAAGTCGGCGGCGTTGCCGTTCGTGCCTCCGTCGTTTTGGTCACGCTTTCTATACTGTAAATCCGAAGGAGTGACTGCTCTCCCAGAAGCACCCGATAATCGATAGGGTAGAACAAGCATCCTAAAAAGCACGTTGACTAAGATGCTGAAAAAATATTTGGGCGCATTAACTAAGCCTTTCGGAGGAGATCGAGATAGTGCAGTCTGGCATCGTGTGCACCGCATGCTGGCCTGCTTGGCTGCTGCTGGCTTCTGATTGATATGATGGGTTTGAAGTTCCAAAATCACAGCATCAAAATGAGAGACGCCGTAGTGGAGGTCTCTAGAAATTTAGACTACCTGGGATTCCTTAACGTGCCCCCAAATCTGAGCACATGGACCTACAGCATTTTCACCTCCTTCAAAAACGCAGCCGCCGCAGCCGGGATTCAATTCCTTGACCTGCGGGTCAGCAGTGGAGTACCTTAGCCACTAGACAACCATGGCAGGTCTTTAGAAAATGCCATGAGCACTCTTTGTTTCCAGGTGGTCCATCTTCTCGGGGCATACCTCAACCATGCTGTAAGAAAACCGACGATTATGCGCGTTACATTGACCGTTTCAAAGCATCAATGAATGCCTTCTGCGAGCACAGTTCTCTTGTGCCCACTACGCCATAATAATTGCTTTTTTTTATTATAGCGAAGGGCAACACTTCCTCTGTGTCCGTATATAGGGTAATACGTGAAACAAAGCAGCTGTTCACTTTTTAATGGTTGTGCTGCTGATGATCCTTATTTATGCCTGAGCGCTTTGTAGAGTGTTGATCACTGGTTGATCAATTGACATGTTTCGGCGCCTGCTGTAAGTACACGCTTCTGCCTCGCAATAAACAATGCATTAAGTGGACAGCTTCAAGTGCATAATATTCATATTTGGCTTTTTTTTTCGAAGCACATGAAGAAATTTAGTGGCTCTGCTGTAGGTCACGTATATGGTCCATGCGGGTGGCCTCAGTAGTATTGCACCCTAAAATTTTTAGTGTATCCATTCGCATATTTCGTCAGATTTATTGGTCAAGGACAAGATGCTTTTTGCTCGTGAAGAATGATGCCAACTGCGACACTGACGCCGACGCTGAAATTTCAGTGAAATGAGGTCTTCATCGCATTTGGCGTGAGTAAAGCTGACGTCGGGGTCATCACCAAAGGCACGCTTCCGGTGGCCGACAAATGCGCCCGACTATGTGTGAATTTTTAGGTAATATGTACATAGACGCAGTATATACTCGTGCATTACGCACCCTTGTGTGTACCTCAGTGAAACTGGCAGCAGATCCCATGTATGGTGGGAATCGACGAAATGCGAAGCACAAATGAGGAAAGATGATAGTAACTTTAAAATCAGCACAACCTTAAAAGCATGTGGTATAGAAATGATCCTACGCAAATGAGAACAAATTTGTTTTATCAGCTTGTAGAGCTGACGGAAATGAAGCATATGACAAAAGACAAACAAGAAGTATTTTCGAAGGCGCTACCGCATAGCAGTCGCTCTTACGTCAAATCAAAGAAACTTGGGAAGAGCGCTGTGAAACAAGCCATTGTCTGTGCGAGCTGCATTCTCTAGCCGACTGGCAATATTTCGTCAATAGAAAAAGTTATCGGTACTGTCAGTATTGCTGCGCAGTTTTTTAGTGGCCAGGAAATATCATCTGGAGAAAAAAAAACTCGAATTATAGCTGCAATATGAGTAGGCAATGCCTAGCAAATTATTTTTGCGTTATCTTCATTTTGGTTTTAAATTTTACAGGGAACCTAGAAAAAGAAGAGATGTGTGAACATGGGCAGCCTGTGAAATGGACGAGTGGTATCTGGTAAACAACGCATTTTTGTTTTGAGAACGATCGCGCATAAGGAGCGTAGTTCCCGCGCAATAAGTTGTAGTAGATGACAGTGTGCCATGTGTCCTTTGTGTTAGAGTGTGTTCCATGTCGTGTGAACATTTATGTTTACTACATTTACTGAAAAATTGTGTTTGAAAAAATATTTATGTACCACGCGCCGGGTTACATAAATAGCCGTGTTTCATTTTTTAGTATTATCATCAAAAGTCTTTTTTGTTAGTAAACGTACTTGCCTAGTAGGTTCTAGAATCAGTGTTCTATATTTCGGGAAACTGGACGAAAAAAATATGGTGCAAGCTCATATGCAAATCGCGATGCTGATTGAAATAATGAACAAGCACCCATTCTTGGCAATAAACGGTACATTTTTCTCATGATCTATCGGTGCTGCCCGTAAGGCATATGTGTTGACTGAGGTGGCTGCCACGCTTAATGCACTGGAACTGGCCAGTGAAAGAGGTCGGCCTCTGGCTCTGGTACTGGGTGCAGCTGTGCAACGACTGCAACGCAAGCGGGTCAGACAACTGGAGAGCCAGATAAGGTGAGCACGTTGCTTTAAGTGGACCGACCAACCGACCGACCTGAGTTTAATTCACCGCGCAAAAGAATCACAACTGGCCTTCCGGACCAACACAACACAGCACAAGCGTACACGGGAGGATCCAAAACCCGGAACGATCCCCGCAGACTAGCGCTCAAAGGAACATACGCTGCGAAACAACGGCAGAAAAGCCTGCGCGAAGCATAACAGAAGGAAATCAGGCTCACACGCAACCCGACGTAGAATACGAGTCATCTACTCGCGTTAGCCGACGCCCAAACCCGCGTGGCATCAGCTCTGTAGCAAGCACGAGCAAAAACCTATCGCGCCTAGCACGACTGAATCCGCACCCCCTGCCACTTTTTCCACCCGCTCCGGCTTTCTCGTGTGCAGATGCTCGACCCGAGCATGCGCTATGCGCATGTGCTCTCCTCGCCCTCCTTCCACCATGCGTGCTGCAGATATGAGCCCATAGGCCCGACACTACCCCCCCCCCCCCTACACACAAAAATGAACACTTCACCGACTGTCGAAAGGATATACTAGAGGCAATAATGAACTCTATATAAAAATAGAAAAGAGTAAACTAAAATGCCGTTTCTGATTAGTGTGCACAGTTACTCGGGCACCGGAACACTTCACTATTAGTGGCATGTCCCTGATTGATTGATATGTGGGGTTTAACGTCCCATAACCACCATATGATTATGAGAGATGCCATAGTGGAGGGCTCCAGAAATTTCGACCACCTGGGGTTCTTTAACGTGCACACAAATCTGAGCACACGTGCCTACAACATTTCCGCCTCCATCGGAAATGCAGCTGCTGAGCCGGGATTCAATCCCGAGACTTGCGGGTCAGCAGCCGAGTACCACTGCCACTAGACTACCACGTGGCAGGGCTAGTGGCATGTCCCTGCCGACAGTTTGTCAGGCGCCACAACACATCACCCCTCATGGCATGTCTTTGTCATGAGTTGCACTGATCGGAGCCTGCGTGCACGTCAAGCATCACATAACATTTGGTGACCTGTCTTTGTCCCGCCGGTTGAACAGAATAGAACGTGCACGTAGCATGTGTCGGTATTCCCAGCAGCCTGTGCCGCGTTCCATGACGGGTGTCCGCTTTGTGCTTTGTCGAGGGCTAGCTAGGCACTGAAGATGCTGCGGGTGATCTGTGAAAGGCAAGCGGGACAACAAAAATGCAACGCATTCCTGATTGACAAACGACTCATACGCAGGACAGCAATGTCGATGATAGTGGGACACTGGCCCTCAGAAATCTTTGCCCCTACACATCAGATATATTTCTGAGCGCCTTGGCGTGAGAAGCATTGCCGTTGGGGCGATTGGAGCCTAACAAAATCTGGCCTCACGATCCGATGTGTGGCTACAACCGTAACGTTGCAACGTCCAAGCTAGATGACGCGACGATGGCCATCAACCCAGCCGGTGTCGTCGGACGTGCTACTGTCTGCACCACACGTGCTTCAAACCTTTCACCCAACGAAAAAAAATGGAGAGGGGGTCTTCTGATGCAGGGCAAACTGCTGGAAGCAAGAAGCAAGATAATATATTACGTCATCAGTGTCACAAGTTGCGAAGAGATGTTGCTTGCTTGCTTGCGTACAACAGAATTTATTTCATTGTGGGAAAATTACGGAGTTTAATTCGTTGTAAAAAGCACGAATTTATTTTGAAATTCATGGGAATATATGGAGTGTAGGGGAGGGTGTAAAAGCCTCTGTTCTCACGAATGACCGGACAGCTGAGTGGTGATGATGGTGATGATGCTCCTCGGATCATTAGCACCTACCCACTCTGTGGGATCGGCCATGAGTCGGGCAGATTATGCATACTGAATTTATATTTATTATTTAGTAAGAGCTAAAATATTTTTTCAATACTTTTTTACGTAAAGTTAATTATAATTAATTGTAATTTTAAGTCCCACTATTTTGCGTAATCTCCCAGAGACTGAAGATTTTTTGACTAGGAAGGCTGAATAAAGAATTGTTAGTAGTTGATACACCTACCAAAGCAATTCGAGTCGCATATAAACGCTTCGTAAGTTTTGAAAATATTCCTGTTCAAGTGCCCCAGCGCAAAGGCTTCAAATGATAGCAGAACGGCCGACGTAAGCGGTAGACCACATCGCCGCAATATAATTTCGATACGTGTTCTGTGTAAGGAAAAACGTCGGTAGCT